GCTTCTTGGGTTTCGGGGGGGGGTTAAGTGTTCCTTAGGGTTCTTAGGGAGTCTTAGGGTTTAGGGACCCCCCATTTTCCCAGCTTAGAGAACCGCTCGCATCTGGCCTCGATAGCAGTTGCCGAAGGACTCTGGGCAGCTCTTTGTCAGAATGCAGGTGCAGGACATGACGATCACCTGGGAATGCTCGGGCAAGAGTCGAAGAAAACTGACAACATCATTGAGTCATTGGGCGATCATGAATGAATTCCGGCCACTTTCGGGGTAAGGGCGGAGGCTTGCATAGGCACAGTGAGTAGGACCACTGCCGTTCTGCTGCTGCAGTATGTCTGCCAAAGCCAAGCATGCTCCGAAACCCAGGTTTCGAGTGATGCACTCACACTCGGAACAAGCTGGAATCTGCGAAGGATCGCCTCCCCGCGCCCCCAAGTTCAAGCACTCGCTCCGACTTCACGCCTACATGCTGCCCTGTACCACTGTCACGACGCAGGGTCAACAAACCCGAGCACCTGCCAGTGCTGTGGCTTGCATTGCCGTCGGCTTCATCGAAGCAGCATGTTGACTCAGGAACCGACCACGACCCTCTGCATCCAGCGAACCAAAACTCAACTCCTTTCATGCCAAGGCCGACGAGGGGCGTTGTTGCTCCCCGTGTCCGCCACCAGCTTCAGTTTTTGAGCGGGGGTTCCTGCCAGACTTGCTCGAGTTTCTCTAGGAATCAGGGCTCGAGTTCTCAACTCAGCGAGCCGACCTCATCTTCTCACACAAGGACTTGAAATGGACATTTGGCCTGCATTTTACCCCAGCCGCTCCGAGCCCAGAGCCAGGTGAGGACTTGAAAAGGTAGAAAAACAGTCTCTCCGCTTTCAGCAAAGAGATGGCCCTTCTGGGTAGCTCAAGCAATGAGAAACCAGCGGGGAGCAAGAGAACATCCAGACAGGTCATGAGCAGGAGAGGCTCCGAGAAACTTGGAGGGATGTGCAGGGACTGTTGCTACCGCGGTCTGTCCACCTCCCGGCAGCTCCCATATCTCTCTCACAAACTGGCATGGACCAGGCTTGCCAAAACCCATGAATGGGCTGACCCCCAGCCTATCCGCACTTCAACGGAGGAGAAGCTCTCGTGGTTCCTCGGGAACACGGCTGGTCCAAGGGTCTGGGACCATTGAGGGCGCAGAATGGCGCAGAAACTGTCTAGAGGTTTGCAAGCATGCCTGAACCACGCAGGCATCCAACCCCACAGCGAGACACTTATTAGGCATCAAATGACACATTGAAAACATGCATTGAACATAAACCAAGAGCCGAGTTAAGCCTGAAATACCTGGATGAAGCGCACCTGTACGTGGATGAGCCTGCAACCAAACTTCCTACCAAAGAACATGCCTTTCGGAAAACACCTGAAAAAATTGCTGCAAGCACCAAGGCGACACCCTTGCGGGACGCCTTTTGCACAAAGGTGCCTTTGGGCGGCACCCAATAGCTATTCGGAGCTGCGAGAATCCACAGAACAACACGGCATATGATTAGACTTTTTCTTCACCGGAGGTTGCACAAGGCTCTTGTGTCCAAGGATCACCAGTGGAGAGCACGTCTCAAGAGAAGGCTCGGATGACACCGTTGCCTCCAAGTCATCTCAAGGAGGGGAGGGGGGGCTTCATATGGGGCTTTCAAACTTCAGATGCTCAGGGAATCATAAGGAATCTCTCGCAAGACTCTCCGGGTGATGCCTAAGCGACCCTTAGGGCCGCTCATTGCAGATCCTGGAGCACCAGGCAACCTGGAAATCCGAAATTAGGGGCCTCTTGAGGGGCCCACTATGGTCTACCGTGGCACAGACCGCAACTGCCAAAAAGGTAACAATGGCCAAACAACCCTTTCGGCCAGGCTCACCATGGTATGTCGCCGCAGCAGCGCAGAGGACAAAGGCAGCAGGAGCAGCAGGAGCCAGCTGAAACGACAGAGTAGCCTTAGACAGGCTTTCCCAAAGTCAGGCGCAAGACAAGACCAAGGATTGAGGGGGCAGCGGTTCGCAGCAGCCCCTCCGTCAGAATGACTCGGTCGGCATCAAGAATCTTCATTCGTGCCATCCTCCAAAGAATTTGTTGCGGAGCACATTGTGAATAGGATCTGCTCTTTGGAGAGGTGAAAGGCTGGGAAAATAGAAAAAAGAAAACTGCTCGTTGGTTAGCCAAAACGTCTACAGCCATGCGTGTACACCAACGATCCAGCTTGACTCTCCAAGCAACATGTTCGGCATCGAATGCACAATCCAGCGCGTTTGCGCCAGAGCGGGTAGTTCGTGGTTGGGTCGTGATTTGTCTGAGCCAACAATACACAAAAAGCACGTGCAAACAAGCCATGGGACACATTGGGCACAACAGGCATCAGGCCCGAATCCGTCAAGCCACGTCGTCTGAGCTCTGAAGGTGGAAGTTGAGATGTGGGGTTTCAGGCTTTCAGGTATGTGGGTTTAGGGTTTAGGGTTTAGGGTTTAGGGTTTAGGGTTTAGGGTTTAGGGTTTAGGGTTTAGGGTTTAGGGTTTAGGGTGGTAGTTCAGTTCGCACTTCGAGATGGCTCCGTAGAAGCGACTCCGGGACGCTTTGCTGAGAAGGCCGAGATCTGAAGAAGGGCTTAGGGTTACTGAGGTTTAGCTGTGGAGAGAACTACCTGTCATCCTTGCATAGGATGAGGCCTATGGATTGCACAGCAACACAATGCATGGTGCGATTGCTCTTGCGCTTCAAAACAAGGCGCCAGCAACAGACCTACAGGCTGGTGGTGCTGCCCCTATCCAGCTGTCACAAGCTCCTTGTTCCCTGTGCTTGGGATGGACACGAGCCACGAAGAGCTAAAGAAGAGAGAATTCTCAGGATAACCAGCCGGGCGCACCACATGGCCGATCAGAGAAGTGGGCCATCCGAGGAAGGCGAATCACGGAGCATGTCTCTTGGCTTTTTTTGAAGGGCTGGGAGGGATTTGGGATTGCAGGTCTATGGGGGCTAGGTGCGGTGACCGCAAACTGGGCAGTTTGAGGTCTTGCCAGCACTTCCATGTCTGCGTACGCAATGTCAAGGAATTGAAACCAGAAGTGCGCTGCGAGTGGGAGGCTAGTGCTTGCAGCAACTGAAGACATGTAAGCCACGCAGGCTAGCTGAAGCTGTCCAGCCAAACACAACATCGGTATGTACTGCACATTGCGAGCGGCTAGCACCTGGCATGCTTGCGAGTCGAAGGTAAATCGAAGAGCAAAGCGAGTGCCGGGGAAGCAACACAAGCGCCCCAGCTGTTCTTACAGTTCGAAAGTTCGCAACTTGAGAAGAGGAATGTCAAACCATGGCACATGCACAATCATGCACAGCTGCAAAACACGGCCTCCCTAGCCAGTGCTTGATTTGTTGGGGTTCTTTCCGCAGCTTTCTGGGAAAAGTATATAACTTTTGCACGGCTCTAAACTGAATAGCTCCCATCTCATCAGCCCTGGCGATTGAAACCCCGAGCAAAAAGTAAAACCGAAGGCACTGAAGCCCGCTCTCTTTTGTCTCGGGTGCGACGCGACAGCATGCTCTAGTCCTACTGGAGATAAGGGGAAGGGAACGACCACAAGCCGTGACAGAACCTTCCCCATGCCCATCCTTAACCCCCCCCCCCCCCCAATTTTTGTGCTGGATAACCCCAAGGTTTGTCCACGGCTCTGGCTCCTTCAAACGCCCCATTTCGGGGATGAGGTGCCCAAAGCAAGGCCGCGTCCAATCGTGTTTTGGCAGCACCTGCACCCTTCGGGGTTTAGGCTTTTCTGAGGCGCCTCTTTCAACTTGAAGCTCCTCTCTTAAGATTGGCTTTGGGGTGCCTTTTGACCGCCTTCTTGTCGACGGTGACGGCGCGTTGACTCAGCAGAAATGCTACATCCACCCTCGTCTTATCCCTCTGGCACACACCCTGCGTCCCTTGTCACCACTCAAAAAAAACTCAGGACGGTTCAAGGTTCAGGGGTCAACGGGCTGCGTCTTTTCCAGGTTCCAAAAGCAGCTGCGGAGGCCGCGTGTTTTAAAATTCAGCGGATCCCGTGGGACGCTGCAGCAATGGCCAGGCGAAGGAACATGCGAGCCAAAGGTGCCCCAATCCTGAGCTTGTAGGGCGTGGCACAAACGTTCATTTAGGATGGCCTGTCCTGCGAAACTGCTTTTGCATGGTGTTGTCCTTCTGGAAATAAAGCACAAATTGTGTCATTTCTCTGTTTTCTATCTCTGTTGGCCTTGCGTTGCTTCCGTCTCTCGTGTTATGTTGTCTTGTGTCTTCGGTAGTTTCGTTTCTCTCACTATGCTTTGTTTCCTTCCTCGCTGTCCCTGTTAAAGTGTTTGTTAACTCTTCCGCTTTTGTCTGGCTTTTCTCTCTCCTTGCTCCTTGTCGCTCTCACTCGCTTTCGCTTCTTGTCTCTCTGTTGATGTCTCTCTGGCTCTCGTGCTCGCTCACTCTCTCCGAGTATGCCTCGGCAGGAAGGTAGGTTGGAAGGCAGGTACAGGTAGGGGGCGGGCACGCGCCTCTGACTCGCCTTCGCCCCCTAGGCGTTTCGGCGGTTGCTCTGGTGGCAAGTCGCCGAACTGACATGCACTCAACTCTAAAGCTTTCGTACACGCTGGCACAAGCTGCTGTCGAACATGGCCAAGGCAAGGCGCCATCGTTGTGGCGTTATCTTGCTGGGTCGTGGGTCTCTACCTGATTACCTTGGCTCTGAGCACGGTGCAGCACAGACTTTGCCTGTCGAGAGCCAGTGGAGACCGTGCCTCAAACCCTGAAGTCTTGTCTCCGACTCTTACTGACCTCGTGGCTTCGGATCTCTCGTCAGGCGCGCTATGCGCATGACCTTCCACGTCTTGGACGGCGGAAGGCTTCGCACATATCTGGCTTGTTGGTCAACACTGAGAGATACGATTCCCGCGAGCGACATAAGGTTGGCACTTGGGACGTTGGCCCTGTGAGCTCCTGCCCCTACACTACTCTTCACTTCGACGCTGGGCGTGCGTTCACCAACAGCAGGAGCAATGACAAGGCCATGGGTCGAATCATGTGGGGCCGGGCCGCGGTCCTTGGCAACAGCACAGACATCTTTGGAGCCTGAATGGTTACTGATGTGATCACCTGCACACGAAGCTCTCTTGGGAGACGCTCCTGAAGAATCCCTAGGCCGTGTCGCACCCGAGCCCCCAAAAACATCCTGAAACACGCCGGGCCGCGAAAGCTCCTCCTCCTCCTCGCTGCAAACGGATGGCGCCAGCTCGTCCAGGCCTGGGGGCTTGTGGAGTCGTGGACTTGTGGGCCAATACTTCTGGGCGGCACGGATTCCGATCTTGTACAACGAGCGGTGCGCTCAGGACGTAACCTCGAACTCACCTCTGAGACCTAGCGGCTCAGAGCCGCGTCGCGTCTAACCCACATGTTCAGGCAAAGTTCAAGGTGAACACTACAGCCTAAGCCCTTCATGAATTTCAAGCCCCACCCCTAAACCCTCCAGGAAAAAGATGGATCCTTTCAATTTCGGCTTGCAGAGGCGGGCGGCGTCCCCCGGTGTAGATCGCCAGGAGGTCCCCGTTGGGGACCTTCCCATGCCCACAGCTTCTCATGTTCCCCGCTTAAGCAGGCTGGGGCACATCTTGGGATAGCTTAAGAATGTCTAAGTCTTAGTGTGTTGGGGGGGGGGGGTCGAAAAATCCTCGAAGCATTCTGGCCGTTCTGGTGCCGTGTCCTTCTGTCCTACAAGCCCAAGATGTAACTCGCAACCCGCAACAATGAAACGTCAGCCAACCATTCCCAAGCTCCAAGCTCGGGTCAGGTCCAGCCCGAAGGGCAAAACCCTAAACCCCAAACTGCCTAAACTGCCTAAACCGCCGAATCTGCCTTAAACTGCCGACCCTGAAGGCTCCCGCCAAGGCGCGGTGCCGGTGATCACCTCATGGCATATGCGAATCTCCAAGATGTTTTACACCCCGTTCATGAGGCAAGCCGTTGTTCCGACGAAGCCACATATAGGGAGGCCTTCCAGCAAACAGTCTAATTGGGGAATTCCGGGCTTAAGCAGGGTTCGAGAATGTTCAGGACGTCGGTTTGAGGCGAACGGCGAAATTCTTGCAGAAAATCGCCAAGTGCGGGCAAGCCACTGTGCCGTCGGAGCCGATCACGACCTTTGCAAAAGGAAGAACAGGCAGTGACCACAAGATGACCACAGGGATCCCGCAATGATCATCGATGTGCATAGCCCAAGGGGTTACTGTGACATGGAGAGGCGTGCCCGACACCCTTTCAGGAGGGTCCCGCGAGCCTCCCTCGGGCAGCGCCGCCGGTCCCAGCAGCGCTGTGTCGTTAGGGAGGCCATGTCACCTTGGAGGGGTCGCTTCTTAGAACTTACCGGGTTCTTCTCATGGCCCGGTGAGGGGCCCTCCATCCCACACCGTGCGTTTCTTGAGCGGCTTTGATGGGTCAAAAGCTTCTTATGTGTCTCCATGCAGACTGCATGTGTCTGCATATGCCTCGTATGCCTCCTCCTCCCCTGTCTGAATGGGCATATGACATTGACGTGACCTCAAAGACTCCCAGGCCCCTTAGCAAACGCACCCTGCCTAGAGCCAGTTGTCAGTTCTCTGCCCAGTCACAATAGCGGCCAGGGGCAAGGCCCGTGGTCAGGCCTCCCACCAAAGCGCGGGCCACAGGTTCAGAGGTGCAGGGTTTTGAAAAAGATTTGTACGAATACAGATACATATACATATACATATACATATACATACATACATACATACATACATACATGTGCTACCCCCCCCCCAGCGACCTACCCTTTTTAGGCCTTTTTCGGCCTTTTTAACAAAAAATAACAAAGAAGGCCCAAAAGTCGCGTAGGTAAGGACAGTTACTGGGACACCCACCTCACAGACCCCGATAAGCCAGCATTGGAAGAATCTACATTTTGAATCTGAAGCGGACAATGCTGTTTTTAGATGTTTAGATCAGTGTTTTTCTATGCAAATTGTGCGTTTCAAGGGCAATTAATGTTTTGTTGAGCAACTAATTTATTTATACAGTTGTGTTTGTACGAGGCAAAGTATGAATCAAATAGTGAAACATTTTTCTTGGTTCTATGCGAATTTAGCAACAACAGCAATTATTAAGCAAAGAGCCCAATTTGACTCAAGTGAATACTATTTAAAGGAGCATACTCAACCAAGATACGAAATAAACACCATTCTCAACCAAAAAATGGCAAAGTGTGCGTTTAAAGTGCAAATACTGTATTTATACAATTGTGTTTGTACTAGGCAAAGTATGCTCTCTGAAAAGTCCACTGAAATACCTTATGTTTACATATTCAATGAATCGTTTTATTTTTGAAATAAGCATTTTATGCGAATTTAGCTACTAGAGTAATTATTAAGCAAATAGCCCAATGTGACTCAAGTGAATACCATTTAAAGGACCATACTCAACCAAAATACGAAAGAAGCACCATATTCAACCAACATATGGCAAAGTGTGGTTTAAAGGGCAAATAGTGCTTTGTTGAGCAACTAATGCATTGAAACAGTTGTGTTTATACCAGGCAAAGTATTATTGAAGTACTATCTGCAAAGTCAAATGAAACACCTTATGTTTACATATTCATGAAACAATTTTTTTGAAGTATTCATTCTATGCGAATTTAACTACTAGAGGAATTCTTAAGCAAATAGCCCAATTTGACTCAAGTGAATACTATTTAAAGGACCATACTTAACCAAATACGAAATAAACACTTGCGGAAATGGAAACGGTTCTACCTACATAACAATGAGACAAAGATTGCTGAAGTATTCACTAAAGACCACTTATATACTATGTCTGAAAAGCACAATTTGCATGAGCAAGCTTAAAAATGCACAATAATGGAAATAGAAGCGGTTCTACTTACATAACGATGAAACAAAGATGTCTGAAGTATTCAATAAAGACCACATATATACTATGCCTGAAAAACGCAACTTGCACAATCAGGCTTAAAAAATGCACAAGAATCCTAGAAAAGTACTTAGTGAAGGCCATACACAAGCAAATTCACAAATACATAAAAACATCCAAAAGCGCAAGCTTTTCAGGAGAATCTCTGGTAAAGTTTGGATTATAGGGTTTTGGGTTATTCCTGGACGAGTAGGAGTCACTTTTTAAGCAAACAATTCTAAGCAATAAATGCTTTTTCTCAAGACAAGTATTGCAAATGCTGATTCTAGATAATTAATCGCATTTACCAGGCAAATATTATCCATGCGAATTGAGCTACCAGAGCACCAAGTAATGGCTGAATAAGGTCTACTACACTTGAGTACAACCAAAAGATGCACTAAACACTAGCGGCTCTATTTACATAATAACGAAACAAATAGTTCTGAAGCACTAGAAAGACCACTTGTATACTATTTCTGAAAAGCACAATTAGCATAAGCACACTTAAAAATGCGTAGTTGTTGCCTCGTGCCCGTGAAGGCGAACCAAAAAGCCAAAATACCAAAACCAAAAAACCAAAAATACCAAAACAAAAAAACCAAAAAACCAAACCAAAAAAAAAACCAAAAATACCAAAAAAACAATTTTCCGGGACTCTTGGAGAAGCCTCATAGGATTTCCTGAGAGTCCCGGAAAATTGGTTTTTTTGGTATTTTTGGTTTTTTTGGTTTTGGTTTTTTTGGTTTTTTTGGTTTTGGTTTTTTTTGGTTTTTTTGGTTTTGGTTTTTTTGGGTTTTTTGGTTTTGGTATTTTTGGTTTTTCTACTGTCCCGTGTATGCGATTTTAATTGTATTTTAGTCTACGCCCTAGGAAATACGCTATATTGCACACCGAGTTTGCTTGCAGTGCAGCTGGGTGACTTGAAACAAGGCGAAAAAGGGTAGGTCACTGGGGGGGGGGGGTACCATACATGTATACATACATACACATACATACGTAGGTATATGCACTTGCTTATAGATGTAGAACTGTATGCGGTACAGCATGTACAACATACGTGCTAGATCTTCACTACTCGCTATATTTGCTCATGCTTACATATCTCTACACATATATATATATATGGTATAAAACCTTTAAAGGTAGATTCTCCAGGGGGGGGTAGCATATATATATATATGTGGCTGATACCTTTAGGGTTCTTTTTGCTTAGTTTGCATGTGTCGTATTTAAAAAACAAAGCAAAATGCTTCATTTATATTTGTTCCTAAGCAACAACACACACGCTAGAGGTTACGGACTTCCTCATTGATTGAGATAACTGTTCACTGAATCGAAGCCCCAAACCCTAAAACCCGTAAATCCTAAACCACAAATCCTAAACTAAACCCTGAAAAGAATGAACTTAGGGTATATATAAAGTTGAGGATGTAGGGTTGAGGGCGGCTCACAGCTCTACCGTTTCCTATCTGGTACATGAAAGAGCTTCTCTATCTCGCAATACGTCGTGAGAGACCTCCTCTAGCTTTTCGCAGGAAATGAGAGAGAGTTCTCTACTATGTCGAGTTTTCAGAAATAGCTTCTCTATCAATGAAGAAGCCATCAGAGAAGCCGTTTATCTCTTCATAGGAGATGACACAGCTCTTCTACCTTTCTACTTGAGGTCTCTCCTTTACTCTAACTAACAGTTTTGCAGGACTTTCTCTATCCCTGAAATGAGACAGGACACAACTCATCAATTTCCATCTTCTACGTGAGAGAACTTCTTCTATCTTTTAATAGGTCATCTGAAAGCCCCTCTCTTTGTAGGAAATGAGAGACCGCCCTTGCCTCTCCTCATTTCCCCTCGAGAGAGAGAGAGAGAGAGAGAGAGAGAGAGAGAGAGAGAGAGAGAGAGGAGAGAGAGAGAGAGAGAGAGAGAGAGAAGACTTTCACCCAAACAAATAAGGAGGACTTTGCATGTCCCAAGAGGAGAGAGAGCGGAGAGAGAGAGAGAGAGAGAGAGAGGGAGAAGAGAGAGAGAGAGAGAGAGAGAGAGAGAGAGAAGAGACGAGAGAGAGAGAGAGAGAGAGAGAGAGAGAGAGAGAGAGAGAGAGAGAGAGAGAGGAGAGAGATGAGAGAGAGAGAGAGAGAGGAGCTCTCGCATTCTGCATTAAAAGAAAGAGGACATGGTTCATTTCCATTCTCTATGAGAAGATAGAGGGGAGGGGGGGGAGGGCTCTCTCATTTCCAAACACGACACAGAGGGACATAGAAAAGATATAAGCGAAAGAGAGATCCTCCACTCAGAAAAAAACTAGTCCATTTCCAAACAAAAGAGGAGTTCTTTCATGTCCCATCTCTCATTATGATTAACAAGATGGATGACATCGATTCATGTCCGTTCTTTTGTTGGTTTATCAAAGGGTCTTTTCGTTTCCTATACAGGACTTCTTTTGTTTCTATGAGAAGATTAGAGGAGCTCTTTCATCTCCTACTCAGAGATAGAAGAGTACATTGGTAATGCATAAGAAATCAAAAGAGCTCTCTGATGTCCTATCTTTTTCATATGTCGTCAATAGGAAATGAGAGAGAGAGAGAGAGAGTTCTCTACTACGTCACTACGTCGAGTTTTCAGAAATAGCTTCTATATCAATGAAGAAGCCAGCAGAGAAGCCGTTTATCTCTTCATAGGAGATGACACAGCTCTTCTACCTTTTCTACTTGAGATCTCTCCTTTGCTCTAACTAACAGTTTTGCAGGACTTTCTCTATCCCTGAAATGGGACAGGACACAACTCATCAATTTCCATCTTCTACGTGAGAGAACTTCTTCTATCTTTTAATAGGTCATCTGAAAGCCCCTCTCTTTGTAGGAAATGAGAGACCGCCCTTGCCTCTCCTCATTTCCCCTCGAGAGAGAGAGAGAGAGAGAGAGAGATCTTTCATTGAAAACAAAATACAGGAGGACTTGCATGTCCCAATAGAGAGAGAGAGAGAGAGGAGCTCTCGCATTCTGCATTAAAAGAAAGAGGACATGGTTCATTTCCATTCTCTATGAGAAGATAGAGGGGAGGGGGGGGAGGGCTCTCTCATTTCCAAACACGACACAGAGGGACATAGAAAAGATATAAGCGAAAGAGAGATCCTCCACTCAGAAAAAAAACTAGTCCATTTCCAAACAAAAGAGGAGTTCTTTCATGTCCCATCTCTCATTATGATTAACAAGATGGATGACATCGATTCATGTCCGTTCTTTTGTTGGTTTATCAAAGGGTCTTTTCGTTTCCTATACAGGACTTCTTTTGTTTCTATGAGAAGATTAGAGGAGCTCTTTCATCTCCTACTCAGAGATAGAAGAGTACATTGGTAATGCGTAAGAGATCAAAAGAGCTCTCTGATGTCCTATCTTTTTCATATGTCGTCAATAGGTAGAGGAATCCTCAGCTCTACCGTTTCCTATCTGGTACATGAAAGAGCCTCTCTATCTCGCAATACGTCGTGAGAGACCTCCTCTAGCTTTTTGCAGGACATGAGAGAGAGAGAGAGAGAGAGAGAGAGAGTTCTCTACTATGTCGAGTTTTCAGAAATAGCTTCTCTATCAATGAAGAGGTCAT